TATTCCTTAACATGTACAGAACTGAAACATTGTGCCTGAGCATCAGACTATGGTGTATTCTTAGGAACTTTTGCTTAACTACAATAAAGTTAGCAATATACCGGTATATATTTCCAATGTCTTCCATTTGGCTCCTTTAAGTGATAGCAGCTTAATCTATTGAAGCAATTCCATCCATGGCTTGTTTAGCATTATGTATGAACTAAGCAATCTCCCTTGTTTCTTTTCCAACAAGCCAAAGATAAGAATCTGCCAAATGAAGTGTTTTCTGACTTATGGCCTTTGACTACTGAGAAACAGTTGACCTAGTATTAATTTATTTATCTTGCATTTGTTTTCCTTTGGAAAGCTTTTTTCTTATACCCTCCTGCTGGCGTAAATGGAATGATTAAAGGGAAGACAAAGCATCTCATCAGATATATTAGCAGTAGCATTAAGGCTGCTGAGAAAAATGGTGAGTTTAGGCATTTAAATGGGATTTATCAACTTTCTGCAATATTCTGTGATAAATCACTTCTGTTGTGTTTTACTGACAATGTGTGCAGATAACAACAAATATATAAACATCTAATCTTCTAAATGTTGTTTTCCTCATTCTAATTTTTTTTGTTTGCTACTAAATTTTCAGTTAAATTATTTGTGGTTTTCCTCATTCAAATAATGGCCCGTTTTAAAATATTACACATTCCTCCTTACTGGCATCTCCTTAACCATACTAGTAAACTGGTGAGTGAGATAATTTGTTTATAATACTGCTTATTCATTTTATTCCCATTTATAGATCTTGTCTCAATTCATTTTAGGAGACATTTTAAATGTCAGGGTCAATTAGGGAAAATTGTTCCTATCATTTAGGGTTTTTTTTTTTTTTGTGGTTAGCTATCTTACATAAAAAAATTTAAAATGGAAAAGAAAATTAGAAGAATAAGACTCGAGGAGAACTAAATAATTAGTGCACTAAGAATACTTAATTAAATGCTAGAATCTTAAAGTATGGTTTGGGGAAACAAATGTTTCTGTAGAATAACTACATATTTGTTCAGTTAATGAATTAAATATAGTACTGGTGTGACTTATAAAATAAAATAAAGTAACTTCCTATGACAAGGCAACATTTCCTATAATGCAGTGGGAAAACAGACCACCCCAGAAAACTGTGGAATGCAGCAAGGGCTTCATGATAAAGCTGGAAACAGGAAAAAGAAATATTTTTTTTTCATGTATTTGCAATCATAACTAGAGATGAAAGAATATCTGTAACATTTGACATAGGACTTGATTTAATAATAACTGCCAATAGCTAGTTTAGGATTAATTTGGCATATTAATTTGGGGGTATGGAAACCCCTAATCGTTCTATAGCATTTTTTTAGAATAATATCTGAAGCATTGCATAATCACTCTATGCTGAAGTAGATTAATGAACGGCAAATATAGTCGGACTACCCTTCATTTCTGCCTAATATGCTCAGACCATCACATAGTATGGTCACCACATTATTTTAATAGTGATACTGTTGGAATTATGTTAATGAAATTACCTGCTTTGATTGGAAACATAATTGTCTAATATGAAAACACTATAGAGGAACAGCTGGATTAGAAAACATGAGAAAAATCTGATAATGCAGTATATTTAATTAAATGCCTGGGAGAACTTGCATTTATATCAGATGTGGAGAACAATGTTATCTTTCTCCCTCTGTTTTTGAGATGAGGAAAAAAATGTCTGATGGTTAGTTTTATTGGCATGTGGGGAGTGACTCATCTGAAGCAGGAATTAAAATTTCTCTTGAATTAATTTGTAGGATATGAACTCTGTGGAATAGCGTGGTGGCCTAGAGGTGAAGATGTTCGCCTCCCAGTCAGAAGGCTGAGAGTTCAATCCTAGGCAGGGACAGATATTTATCTGCAAGAGAAAATATCTGCTGTGAACTCTCCATAGGCATCAGGAAGAGCATCCAACCAGCAAACACTCAGTTCCATTCAGTCATCCCGACCCCACTTGAGAGCAAGGGATTACAGGGTTGTAAAAAGAACTCTGTGGAATAAAGCAAGACTTGGTATTTAGGATGCATTGCACAGTGGGATGCAATGAGTTGATCCTGCAGCATAATCTTATGTGCTTGCAGAATTATAGGTCTGTACAGTAGAACTCTCCTAGGTCTCTTAATATCGTTCTCATCAGCCAACTTATGATATTCCAGAGCATCTACTCGGGATAGAAGAAATCGCTCATTAAAGGTTTTCTAAGGATGATGTGGAAGATGTGGATTTTGTGTAGTGTGGGATAGGCAATCTGCAGTGTTCACTCCATAGGCTTACTGTTAGGTAATTTCATACTGTACATGCAATGGCCTATTTGTAAAAGCTTCTACAATTTATCAGTTCAGATTTCTGTTATGATTTGTATGTTTCTTAACTATAGGCTTTGCCTTGGGACAGACGGAGGACACTGTCAGATTTGCTTCTAGCCCAAGCAGCATATCAAAACACAAGATTGTTTCCAATATGTATGGATTATACCTAAACATTCATATGCTTGACAGGTTACTCAGGGCATTACAGATACTTAAGATCAGTTGCTTAGTGGCCATTTTAAATTTGTGCCAGGCCCAGAAAAGAGTACTTGTGATCCTGCGCCCGCTATGGTCACATAATTGCAATTTGGGTGCATAGGAACCTGCCTGCTTTTATGGCCGTTTGCCATATCCTGCATTGTGGCTACAATTTATAGAGGATTTTTAAATAAAAAAACAAAGTTTACTTTTGGTTTCTAGCAAAAAGAGCTCATCACAAACAATGGGTTTGCTTAATGACCACAGTTTCCCTTAATAACTGTAGCATTCATTTGATGACCACAGCATTTACTTTACGACTAATGTAAAATTGGGCACAGTCCTGTAATAACTTGCTTAACGACTGGCATAATTTATGACCAAAATTCTGGGCTCAATTATGGTTGTAAGTTGAAGACTATTTGTAGTGGCTAGTTAACTGAAAAAAATTGCATTTAAAATAGGTTTAGCTTTACCAAAGATGGCAAAATAGCTGAGTATCCTAAGCTGTTAGGATGACCTGGGTAATTAGAATTATTCTTCAATCTCAGTAGAGTCAAAATTGAAAGATGTTTTGTTATGTGTATGAAAGATTAAATAACAACTTATTGCCCACCTCAGATAAGTCATAAATATTGCATCTAATGAATAATGTATTTCAATTATTTTACACATTTTCTGTGTATCTTTGATTCACTCAAGGGATAAGCGGGGAAATTCATCTACATATATTTTAAAACACAGTGAATAGAAAGTATATATCATCTTCCAGTTTTATTGAATGTAATAACCTAATTGTACTTGCTTCTTACTACCACTTGTCAATAGCTTTCATTGTTGAACTTTTAGAAGCCAACTAAAATGTTGTCCTCTTTTATGATGTAGCAGTTTTAAAGTATAAACTCAGTCTTAATATAAAAGAAGTCAACAAATGATAAAAGAAGTTTGTGAAATGTTGAAGCAGTTGATACTATAGGCATTGATATGATATGGATAAAAATCAGAATTTAATTTAATATTTCCACATTATTTATATTTAATTACTGAGAGATACCTCAATGGAATCTTCATGACCTCTACATGACTGATTTTAGATTGATTCTACCTTGCTTTTCTTTGAATACAAAGTTTTATATTAATCACATGTAACACATTTATAAATAAACAATAAGATAGTTCAATGAGAGTAAAAGTTAAGAATGTGTTTCCATTAGATTTTTTTTTTACTGTCAAAGACTTCCTCACAGATTTTTTTTTATAAAACTCCTTTATTTTTTTATTTTATGTAAGTTATTATTATGATTCTTCAAATAGTCAGCCAGATATTCAGACTGGCTTTGGCATTTTTCTCTACTTACCAAGTCCTTCTCAAGAACTTGAGATAGGCAGATATGGATTATTATTATTTATTTATATTATTATTTAGACTATTTAGATCAGGAATGCCAAACTCGCAATGTCACGTGATGTATTGCGATGTATAGCAACTTTTTTCCCATTGCCAGCAATGGGGTGGGTGCTGTTTTGGCATGACACATCCGGGCTGCGGGCCGGCAGTTTGACACCCCTGATTTAGATTATTCAACAAAAAAAACCCCAAGAGAAATAATACTGAAAAGAGAAGAAATAAAAGCAATATAAAACATATATATTCATGTATGAAATTTTACAGAGTTTTAATAAAGTGCAACCATAGATTTTGTGTGCTTAATGCTTATTATTCATGCTGATTATAATGCAGGCTTAAAAACAGTGAGATATTTATGCCCTTTTATATGATAGCGATCAGAATTGTGCCCCCAACCATTACTTCTCAAGCTGAGAGATGCCCTTGATGATCTGGAACTCATCAAGGAATACAAGTTGCATTTGTTAACAATTATATATAGTTCTTGAAAGGTTGATAATAAAATATTGTTAGCAAAAGGGTTGTCAGGAGTGGGGAAAGAATGCATTTAGCATAAATTACAGGCTTTCTGAAAGTTCTTTCAAACAGAGCACTCTTTTTGTTCTGCTTCTTCGTGTTACTTACTTTTAACACACTAAGACTGCTGTAACAAGCACAATTGATTGCAGTAAGATTTCATAATAACTACATGAATTGAAAAATACAGTACCATGAACATGCTTTTCTTCTTTTTACCAAACTATTCAAAAACGTAGCTGCTTTGACATCTCTCAATATGTTTTACTACATACAAAGTGACTTGTAAATTGCTTCTTGGGTTTTATATAATTAAGATTGAAATTCTAAATTGTTCAGTATCAGGAGCTACATAACAGAAGAAGAGCTGTGAAGATATCTAAAAAAGGCAACAAATACTTTGGGGTTTGTATTGTATGTCATATTTTTCAGCTTTTTTTTTAATGAGCATATAACCACTATTTTCCATGGATCTATTTTTTTCATGTTGTGTTCTCTTCTATTCTCCTGCTTTCCAGTGTACACAATTCTCTCTAAGGTGCATTCTGATCGAAATGTTTATCCTTCTGCTGGAGTTCTCTTTGTTCATGTTTTGGAGAGAGAACATTTTAAAGGAGAGTTTCCTCCTTATGGAAAGCTTGGTAAGAAATGTTTACAATTATAAAGGCGTATAAAACTAATACAGCTTCCATTTAAACTTGTCTTTATGAAGATCACATAATCATCATTTCTCTACAAAAGGTGTAGCTCAAAGGCTATTGGCTATGTGTGCATAGGAGAGAGTGAAAAGATTTAAGTCTCAGTAAAAATGGCACTGTTAATTTGATATGAAAATATCATCTTTCTCTTTCTGATTAGATTTGTAACATTTAGCATCATGATTAGATTTGACACATTTAGCATCATGAATTTTTTGGCCTTTAGACTAACTGTACTTAGCCTCCAGTTGTTCTTGGGTATCACCTCTTTTCCAATTTGCATTTAATAAAAAATACCTGTTGTGATACGTGTTATTATTCTTATTTCTATAAAATCAGATCAGACTATTACAGCAAAATTAACAAACACATTTTCTTAACATATTTAATACTTGTTCCTGTAGAGCAGCGGTTCCCAACCTTTTCTATACTCTGCATCCCTAGAATGCTTCTGATATATTCTTGCATCCCTTACAAAAGTTTGAAATAATGGCAACGAAATTATGCATATACCCTATAATTTTGAAACTTCTAAACCCAAGTTTTCATACCCCCTGGAATATTGTCTCGCACTCCCAGGGGCTGCAAACATCACCCATTGGGAACCCCTGCTGTAAAGGGATATAGCAAATCCTTCACAGTTAATGGAACAACCTCATTTAAGTTGCAGTGCCCAGTTAATTAGAGTTAGGTCCAATTTAATACTAATACTGGCATTTATGCGGTATTAAGAGTCAATGGCTGTTGCTGAATATTCCATTTTTCTTTTTGTTTTCAAATATTTCGTTCTTGTTGGCCACAACTATAAAGAACTATAGTTATACTTTTTGGGGTTTATTACTATAATGAAAATTATTAAGATTCTAAATAGTAGGAATTATCATTGGAATAGCATAAAAATATGGTATTCTGATGATTAAACAGTATCTTAACACAGCTGTCTTATTTATCCAGGTGAGATAAACAATGATCCCATAACATTTAATACAAACCTAATGGGCTACCCTGATAGACCTGGCTGGTTGCGCTACATCCAAAGAACACCATATAGTGATGGTGTGCTCTACGGATCACCAACTATAGAAAACATGGGCAAGCCAACCATCATTGAGGTATTTACTTTGCAGAATGTTTATTTTTAAAAATGCATTAGACATTTTGTTAGAAACATGCTACCAGGGATAATGATAATAGTATAAACACACACACATTCCATTAAAAGGAAAGGTCATCAACATTGAAAATTACATTTCAGTGTCTGTTCTATTGAAAAACCATAGCTCTTAAATGCAGAGATATTGAATTGCTTTCAGTACTACCAGATTTGATGAAAGAACTACAAGACTGAAAGAGGACTTATTCTAGGTATGTAGATAAAGGATTTTATCTTAATATAATTTTTCATGTATGATTAAAAAAATCATATTACTTAAAAAACAGTCAACTTCTAAGTCCATTAACACCTTTGTATTGCTTAGTAAGGTTGTGAAAGGTAAGTCGACCAGTACTGGAATGTCCCATAATTCTCAAAATTTCTTCAGTCATATTATAACTGAAAGAATAGACTACCACCCCCAACATAGCTTGTTTCTCTGATTTTCTGTTCTTCAATAAGAGAAGATTAAACGAAAACATCTGCAGCAAATTTTAAAAAACCATTATTGTTGTTTACCATATTATCCTTTATGAAATGTAATAATTAATTTTTCCTCCATTACTAGATCACTGCTTATAACAGACGTACTTTTGAGACAGCAAGACATAATTTAATTATTAATATAATGTCAACAGAAGGTATGTCCTCAAGAATTATGTCAGCATTTTGAATGTTTCAGTTAATAAATAATATGAATTGGTTAAGTTTTACTGAATAATTACGAGGGCACTTCGGAAATAAACCTCCATTTGATTATCAATAACAGACACTCGTAGATGCAGAACTTTTATTATACACATTAGAAAACTACAACATTACATTACTTTTCTACATAATCGCCATTCAAATTGAGGCACTTGTCATAACATCTTACAAGGTTTGAAATTCCTTAGTAGTTGCTTGACGCCAAATCTGGGCTATGGGGGCGTGATCAAAAACATCCCAATGGAACTGCTTCAAAAGTTCTTGGAGGCATCTAGCAGTGTGTGGGCGAGCATTGTGAACCAACACCACACGGGAAATCAGCATGCCTTGACACTTGTTACGGGTGGCTTGTCTGAATTTTTGTAACGTTTCACAGTAGAGTCTGAATTGATGGTCGAACCACATTCCATGAACTTCACTAGCAGTACTCTTTTGGCATCTTCACATTTGGTGGGATTTTCTATGGCACCACTTCCGGTGTGGTGTTAGTTCACAATAATGCTCGCTCGCATACTGCTAGACACACCCAAGAACTTTTGAAGCTGTTCTGTTGGGATGTTTTTGATCCTCTCCCATAGCCCAGATTTGGTGCCGAGCAATTACTACTAAGGAATTTCAAACCTTGTAAGATGTTATGACAAGTGCCTCAATTTGAATGGCGATTATGTAGAAAAGTAATGTAATGTTGTAGTTTTCTAATGTGTATTTATTTCTGAATTGCCCTCATATAAAGGCAAACGTAATGGGAAAAGGATATTTGACAGTGTCTCTTGTCATATCATATAATCATATCTCTGAACTATTAACATGGATGGTTATTGTATTTGCACAATATTTTTATTGCACAATGATTATTGTATTTGCACAATATTGTATTTGCACAATATTTTTATATATATTCATTTATATACCTCCATTATTTTTTATAAATAACTCAAGGTGGTGAACATGTCTAATACTCTTTCCTCCTTTTATTTTTCCCACAACCACAACCCCATGTCGTGGGTTGGGCTGAGAGACAGTGACTGACTCTTTCCAAAGTTGAATATGCTCTGGTTAGTTACATCCAAATTATGCAAGTCATGGCCTATTGCTAAATGAGAATGAAGTAGTGACTTTTTAGTATTGGTTCAAAAGCCGTGCATAAGAGGTGCCAGCACAAATAATCAATCCATGGGTTGTAGCACTCTGAGTCTTATAACTATGCTTAAAAGGCTAGGCCTTTCTTAGGCATTTTTACATTTATTCATGCAGATAAAAGGACAAAATACTATACAAGTATCTTCGAATTACAACAGTTCATTTAGTGACCATTCAAAGTTACAGCAGCACTGAAAAAAGTGATTTATGATCATTTTTCACACTTATGACCATTGCAGCATACACACGATCACGATCAAAATTTGGACATTTGTCAACTGATTCATATTTATGATGATTGCAGTGTCCCAGGGTTATATTTTGCAACTTTCTGATAGGCGAAGTCAATGGAAAAGCCAGAGTCACTGAACAACCGTGTTACTAACTGAACAACTGCAGTGATTCACTTAACAACTCTGGCAAGAAAGATTGTAAAATGGGGCAAAAGCTCACTTAGCTGTGTTGCTTAGTAACACAAATTTTGGGTTAGTTGTGATTGTAATTCAAGGATTATTACCTGTATTTGTGATTTACTAGTCCATCTCTTTCAGAAATTTGAAAAGGATTTAAGACACAATTACTTTTTTTTTTTTTTTGCAATTAGATCTTCTTTTGCCGTATCAAGCAGAATTCTTCATTAAAAACATGAATGTAGAGGAAATGTTGGCCAGTGAAGTTCTGGGAGACTTCCTTGGAGCTGTGAAAAATGTATGGCAGCCTGAGCGCCTGAATGCCATAAACATCACGTCAGCTCTTGATAGGGGAGGGAGAGTGCCACTTCCTATTAATGACATGAAAGAAGGGTAAGAAGTTATATTTCTCTGGCAGCAATTTATTAAATAGCTTAGTATTTATTCTTAAAAACACATCGGTAAAAAGCAGTAGTGGACTAATGAATAATTAATTCATATTTTGTGAGTCTAATCCAACTCTCTCTGCTAGAAGGAATTATTTTTTAAAACGTGAGGATGCAGGAAGGAGAGACCTGGTGATTTTAGTTCTGATTGGATGATGTTTTGCCTTGGCACGAAGCCTGACTCCAGAGTAGAATGGGCATTTCAGGCAGTTTTTAACCGCCCTAAGTCAAGACAAGACTGGAAGCTGTTTTCATTCACAGAAAGGAAATGTAACAAATGCTTAATTTAAAGATTGTCAATGACCATCCTAAAACTGATTCCACTTTATTTTTCAGTGTCTATGTTATGGTTGGTGCAGATGTTACATTCTCTTCCTGCTTACGGGAAGTAGAAAACCCACAGAATCAGCTGAGATGCAGTCAAGAAATGGAACCTCTAATAACTTGTGATAAAAAGTTTCGTACTCAGTTTCACATAGATTGGTGTAAAATTTCTTTGGTGAGTTATTGAATGGAGGTATTTCAGAAAATATAGCTGCTCAAAGTTTAAAATATCATTGGGAAGATGAATTGGGCAAATACACTTAGAAATTCTGTAATGAATTTCATGGGATAGGCATAATTTCTGTCAATTGCAGTCTTAATGTTCTTTCATGTGCCTGCTTGGACATTTTGTAGTCCTTGTCTCCAGTATGCCATTTGGTGACTGATGAAAATCTAACTTGTTGAAGAAAGCTAAACTGGTAATTTATTGTTCTTGATAATTCTATGGTTATTCTGTATTTTTTTTTTGTTCTGTACAGTTATGTTTGATTCTTGGAGACGGCCTGAACAAGGTTCTGCAGTTTTCTTGGGAAGGTTTTTCATAAGTATTTTGCCATTTCAAGGGCTGAGAGAAAGTGACTGGCCCAAGGTCATCCGGCTGATCTAGTATCTGAGGCAGGATTAGAACTCACAGCGTCCTGATTTCTAGCCTGATGTTTTAATCACTATACCAAACTGTTTACTATAATTTCAAATCTGTTTTACTTTTATTATGGAAACTGCACTGTTTACTATTATCCAAATTTCAAATCTGTTTTACTTTTATTATGGAAACTACTTAAAAGCAAAGATGCAAATAATGAAATAGTATACTATTTCATTATTTGCATCTTTGCTTTTAAACAGTTTCCATAATAAAAGTAAAACAGATTTGAAATTTTGATAATAAATGGCTTTGATGCACAGTACTTGAAAACAATCAGAGAGAAATAATTGTACATAGACCCATGCATGTAGAGCAGGGGTGTCAAACTCACAACGTCATGTGACGTGTCGCGACATATCACGACTTTTTTGCCATTGCTGGCAATGGGGTGGGTGCAGTTTTGCTATGATGCATCTGGCCCGCGGACTGGCAGTTTGACACTCCTGATGTAGAGTGAGTAATTTTCTTTTTAAAAAAATCATCAAGATTCCTTCCTAGCATCTCCAGGTGGTCAGGATAACCCAGCCTCTTTTTTTAGCCCATTCTATCATGGATTCTGAGAATTATCATCAAAACATAGATTCCAAAGAATGGAATAGATAATACAATAATTAGGCTAATGGTATGAGTTGGCATTAAACAGCTATTTATGTCCTTAGGCTTATTTACAAATAAGTATTATTATTTAAAGAATAGCCTTTGTTTATTTTAGAATGAGAAAATTACAGTTAGCACTTTTAGCAGGATTTGTGATGTATTTTCCTATGGTCAAAAAAGATACAAGACACAGTGTTGGCACAACAGATTTTAAAAGTTAAATATATAGACATCCATAAATTGAAATTGATTCCAATAACTTCATTGGCATTCAGTTTTCTTAGCAGCAATACGGAATAGGCTTGCCATTGCTTTCTGGAGTTTTTTTCCTTCCTAATTTCCTTAAAGCCTTACAGGTTTCCTGGTTGTCTTCTTTGCGAGTACTGAACAGATTCAGTCCTGATAAGGTTTGGGAGATCAGCCAAAATCAGCTATGTTCAAAAATCTTGGATAAAAGTTTAAACCTGGTCTAATCTCAGGCCTTATGATCGGTAGTCCTCGACTTATGACCACAAATGGGACCAGAATTTCTTTTGCTAACAAGGTAATTGTTAAATAAATAATTTTATGAGCTTTTTTGTCATGATTGTTACAGAAATCACTGCAGTTTTTCAATGAATCGTGTAGCCATTAAGCAAATCCAGCTTTGCCCACTGACTTGCTTGTCAGAAATTGTCTGGGAACGTTAAAAATGGTGATCACATGATCTTGTGACCCTGCAACTCTGGTTGCCAAGTGCCCAAATTTTGATCATGTGTCCATGGGATGCTTCAACAGTCATAAGTCTGAGGACAGGTCATAAGTTACTTTTTTCACTGCCATTGTAACTTTGAATGATCACAAATGAATGGTGGTTAGGTTGAGGACTACCTGTATATCTTATTCATATTTTATCTGTGATTGTGTGCAGGGGTGAAATATACATGTTGATCAAAAGGAGTTAACACCTTTTAAATTGAAGCAGTTCTGCCATTGTACACCATTCTAATGGTTGTAAACCAATTATTTGAGTCTATAGAAATTATAATACCTAAACCCCTGCAAAGCCTCCCTTGATAAGACTTTCAATATGGTTGCCCTGAACCCTTTAATAACAATATCCATATTATCCATATGTCATGTTTCCTGGGGGGAAAAATAACTATGACATAATTGCATATGCATGCCAGGAATGATGGATCTTTATTTCTGGCTTTTCAGCTTATTATATTTCAGGATGTAAAAGCCAGGAAGGTAAACATTGAATTAGAGCAGGAAAACATACTACTGTACATATTTCTAGAGAATGTCTGTGCTTTTGGCATCCTTACTGGAGCATTTTGTTTCATCAGCTACATGGGGGCCTCAGTAAAGCTGAGGCAAGGAATTCTTCCTCAAAGAACATTTTTATTTGGCTACAAAATAATGGCACATACAAAGGTGAACCCAAGATGAATTCCCTTCCTGTTCTGGTCCAAACAAGATATCTGCTTTAATCCTGTTCTTCTCAGACAGATAAACTCCCAAAAACGGACTAATATTCAGATTATTTATTCTTCAGGAATCTCAAACAATAACTTACAGTCAAGAAGAGTTCTTTTGATGAACATATCATAATCTTCTCCGTTCTTGTGGTGTGAAAAATTAAAGATAGACTCACCCCATATTTCTTATGGGACACAGAACCTTGTGTCTGTCTTATACAATGGCTTCTACATACACATCGCCAGGAAGTACAGTCATAAACTTTGAAGCCCCTCACACTGACTAGATAAGAAATGGGTCTGACTAACAGCTAAACTACATTCCCCATAAGCCATCTCTTAAAGAAACAGCATTTAACCCTTTAAATGCTCTAACCTACAGTTCTTAAGCTAACTGACTGGTCCAGCATACTTCCCCTTGGTTACAAAGTTGCAAGTTGCAATTCCAACCCCAATTTGCTGTCATAAATCACATTCACCAATTGTTAGAAAACACAGGCATTCCTCCCAGCTCTTCAGCCCGCCAAAATGTTATCAGCAATTACCTTGGTTCTCATACATTTGAATTGTTTTGGCTAACAGAACTACACACACCCCTCCTTCTGAACTAAATATGTGGGTAACGAAGACAAAAAGAAATTGGCTTCAGTTCAGTTTGTCACAGCGTTGGCAGCTGGGCTGACAGTCTACAAGAGCTTTTCTACATCTTATTGTGCAAGGCTAAGCCCAGTGCTCTTCAACATCTTCATCAACGATTTGGATGAGGGGATAGATGGGGAACTCATCAAATTTGCAGATGACACCAAGCTGGCAGGAATAGCCAACACTCCAGAAGACAGGCTTAAGATACAGAAGGATCTGGACAGACTTGAACACTGGGCACTATCTAACAAAATGAAATTCAATGGTGAAAAAAGCAAGGT